TTTAAAAACTGTTCATTCAGACAATAATCAGCTAATCTTTACATTCCAACCAAGCTGCAGAAGCACTTTGCACATTTCTGCTCTCTGTAAAACCTTCTATTACTTTTATAATTCCTCGGATTTGCTGCACTTGCTTCCTATTTATCTTGGAGATTGTTGGAGATTTGCATTTTATTTTTGGCATTAAGGTGCATTTAACCAACGCACGGAGCCTCCACAGGGTGGCGCTGTGGCAGCTTTGACCCCAAGTGACTGCATTCATTAGAGAGCTTCCACCATTCATGCATTTATGGCTTTTTATGAATGTCAGCGTGCTTAATGCAGATTGTAATGACAATGAAACGTCCTCCTGCTGAAGCTGATGAATTCTTACTAGAGTGCAAAGTGAGATAGTTGGACACTGTGACCCAGATTCAAGGTGGAAATAACACTTTTTTTTAACATATAAGACAAGTTTGAGGTTCATCACCTGCTTCACAGTTTAAAGAAACCTCTGACAGACCAATATTTATATTTAAAACTGATTGTCAGGCTGGTTCAGGCCTCCTCATCATGTTTATGAACACAAACATCTAATAAAATATAAAATTGTGTTAGACATAGCTGTTATTTTATGGTCTCCCTGAATTATCCACCGTGCAAATATGTCTGATTGTCAGTTTTGGAGCATTCTAAAACATAAACTGAACAAACAGCAGAGTTATATTTAAACGGAGGGATTCTGCAGCCTTAGTTGGAGCTTTGTGATGCTGGTTTTGTGGTTCATGTTGATAAAACAGCTGTAAACTGGATTCATGCACAAGTTGTTCCTCAACGGCACAAATATCCAAAGCAGCTCCACGCTATTCTGACATAATGTGGAAATGTCAGTTAAAACTCCAGCTGTGATGCAATATTTAATGTTTGCTGTTGATCCTGTGATCCACTCAGATGCTCCTTTGATTGATCATCACTCAGTATCTGACAAATAATCAACAATGGCTTGGTAACAGAGGGCTGATAATAAGATTTGATAGGTCAGATTGTAAATAAATAAATGGATGGTAATGTTCCTGCAGCTGGGCCTCCAAAAAACAATGAAAAAAAATGAAAAAATAGCTATCTCGCTAAAATATAGTAATTTTTCATGATTAAAATGTGTTTTCTAGCCTTAATTTTATGTGAGATCATGTCTATTTTCCTATTTTCTTAATTTTCACGCTACAAAATGATCTATAATATTAATATCAGTGACATATTTACAGTATTAAAGAGTTTTAACAGCTTCATGCATGAAATAAACAGAAAATATTTGTGAAATTATGATCAATTTGTGAATATATCTGAACAGTCTTTTATATTTTAAAAAAATATTGTGGGAAAAAAAGAAAATATAAGTGTTTTTATTGTTATTTTACATTAAATATGAAAATTCACACTCAGTTTTTTTGATGTTGTTGATATTTTTTGTGAAATGAAAATCTGTAAAATAAAAAAGGAAAACATTTTACATTGTATGTAGTTAATTTGGGGAAAACTTATTACAAAAATTATATCATTAAAAAAAACGTTTTGTGACGTACTTTCAAATATATTATATGAATTGCACCATAAAAACATAATTTCTATTTTTAAAATATAGAAGAAATACAGTTTATGTCTGGCTACTGGTGCCACTGAAGAATAAAAGCCGAATAAACATTTTAAAACATTTAAGATCTAAATGTGTAGGAAGCAGTTGTGGCCAGCTGGTGGCGCTGCACGATCACAGTTTAACCTGTGTTGATTTTTTTCTTTTTTCTTTTTTTTTTTTTTGCCCAGGCATGAACCTGAAAACAATTGCTGGCAACTGTTTGGGACAGGAACACAAATCTGGCAGCACTCAGCGCAAACAAAAGTGTCTAATCACTAAACTTGCGGCGCACTTGAACGGATCAATCGGCGCTAAAGAGCTCAGTGCGCAGCCGGAGTCCACTCCAGAGGGCTGCGCTGGATTACCTGAGAGCCTCCCTCACATGTGTGTGGAGGGGGTTAAGAGATTAGCCAGAAAACACCTTTAATCTTTTGATTTGACTCATCAGATGTTCTGAACTTTGCTGATTTTAGCATCAATTAGGCGCAAATGATGATTCAGAGCGTTTGTTTCTGAGTGAATGAGTGAATGTAAGCAGCTCCAGGTGGCAAACATGATCCTGCAGGCATCTGGTGGCTTCAATTCTGTGATATATACCCATAAAACACGAAATATTCAGGCGTAAAGCGGCTATTTTTTAATTTTTGGTGCGATATTTTTAATATTCCAACTTGCGGGATTCGCTTATGAGCATAAAGGTGACATGAAGCTGGAGAGCTGCGCGCTGGGCCCCTCCAGCCTGCAGCCGTCGTGGGCCCTTAACCAAAATGTAGACCGACGTCACCACTTCCGCCCTGCACCCCCCTCCTCCTCCCCCTCCTCCACCTCCTCCTCCTCTCGTCTCCCCTCCCTCCCTCCCTCCCTCCCCCGGCGTCGTTGGAGCTGCTCGGCCGCCTGCAATCCAACATGGAGTAGAGGAGAGATGGGGCTCTAGCGGGGCCACCCCTCGGTAACAACAGCGACGACGCGCTTGGTTTTTACGCACAGCTGGGACCGGAGTCGTCGGTGAAAACATGCGCCTTAGGACTTAAAAAAGCAACGGAGGAGCGTGTGCCTTTTGTGTGTCCGTGTGTTGTGTGCGTGAGTGTGTGTGTTTGGGGAGGCGGTGGTGGTGGTGGTGGTGGTGGAGAGGGGAGAGAGACAGAAGAGAGAAGACAAGAGCTGGATTCGGCTACTAAACTGTCCGCTGCCTTATCTGCTGAAGGTGATGCGGGGATTAAAGTTGTAGAGGAGAAGAGAAAAAAAAATAAAAGAGGGAGGCATTCGCGATCCACGAGAAACAGGGGAGGCTCCAGATAAATTTTTTTAAAAAAGAAAAAAAAAACATAAGGGGGAGAATTGAGGAAAAAGAAGACGGAGGCGCAGCCAGTCGAAGGCAAAGCCAAAGAGCCGACACTCGCACAAAGGCGCAGGGGGGATTTATGCGGAATTGGAGACAGAATCGGAGGAGCCACGGCGAAAGAATGACGAGCGAAAAGTATGCAACCGCCGTGGTCCATTACCTGAGGTGAAACGAGAAAATGATAGAAGAAACACACCCAAACGAGTGAGTACTTTCAACATTTCTCTGCTTTTTTTTGTGCGTCGCTTCTCGCAGCGGCTACAAGTTGGAGGTGATCGGTGGCAACTTGGTGGAATGTTGCAGCGTAAAAGTCCGCCTGCACCGCCGCGCTCCGTGTGTGCCTTTCTCTTTTTATTCTTAGTATTTCTGCTTATTTTTGGTGGGATTAGATGCTGCTGCAATGCATTGACAGTGCTGTGGGGCTTCTTTTTTTTTTAGGGCCCCCACCTCGGTGTAAGTCTTGAGAAGGCAAAGAGAGAGAAAGGAGAGGAGTGGGAGGAGGAGGAGGGGAATAAGCGTGGGTGGATCGGAAACATTTTCTGAAAGGATCTGAAGCGAGAGAGCAGGCCCTGTTGCAGCGTAACTTAGAAACTCAAACACGCCCAGAAGTTCCACCTTTTCTAAACACACGGAGCCGCCGCGAGCTCACGCGCCGCCTTCTGTTTGCGCGTCGTGCAGAAAAAGAGAAAAAGAAAAAGCCGACGGCGTTTTCTTTCTTTCTCTTTTGCACAGACGTTTTTTTTTCTTCCCTTTCCTCGTTATTTGGCCACATCTGTGTGTTTGCTTCCAACCGAAGAGGAGGAGGAGGAGGAGGAGGAGGGGGGAAGTCTCACAGGATATGAGATATCCGATATGCCTCATCCGCCATCTCTTTCTCAATCGCCCTCATTTGCATAGCCTACCGCGCTCCATTCATAAAAAAAAAAAAATACCGATTGTAAACGACGGCTCGCCCTCAAACCTTCACGCGTGTGTTTTCTCCGTGGCTCCGGTGCCATATGCTCCGGTCGTGTTGCGCGCGGCGGGCTTTGAGAAACGTAGCTTATGTGGAGCCGTTCGGCGTGCAGGCCCACAGACGTGTTTATATGGCACCCACGGGCCTGTAGCCGTGGAGGCTGGAAATGTAAAGGAAGGAGCTGTGGGTTGATCTGAGCAGAACCGAGCAGGTGGTGCTGGTGGAGGGGGGGTTACAATGGTCGCTGGTGCGCTTTTACCAAAATGTGTGTGAACGCCAGAACCAAACGTTTCCCGGTTTGTGCAGCTCGCTGAGCGCAGCCATGTCGCCAGCTCGTGTCCCCGCCAGCCTGCGCTCTGGTGGGAATGCCTGCCTTGCAGATCTGTCGGCGGGGGTGGAAGGGCGAAGGGCACCGGAGGGGATGTTTGCGCTGCGGTGGCGTGACGCCGGCTCATTCATAAAAGCCCTCTAACCTTCAGCGCGTCTCGCCCCCCCTCCTCATTCATGCCTGCTGGCCGTGGCTGCTCCGGAGTCTCTCAGTCTGTCCCTGCAGACCCGGTGCGCTCACAGCGGATCGAACCGGAGAGGCACCGTTTTTTTAGTTTAATTTTATTTGCGGTGCAGAATCTCCGGTTCCTGAGCTCACCTCTGCTGCTGCTGCTTCTATCTTTATGGCCTCGTTCTGAGTCATATGTTTCTGATAAACAGTTCTCTTTTCTCATGGCGTGATGTGCAAATTGGACTACGCCCACGCAGCACAGAACCAGGCTGATTGACTTTCAGCCTGTTTTATGGGCCCAGATCATATATTTCACAAGACACAAGTTTGTGATCATCAGAGCTGTGACACATAACTCCACCTGGACATGGTGGCCATCAGCAGGAGCTGGAACACCTGAGAAAAGGCAGATATGAAAGTAAAAATAAAGATCTATGAGTAGAACGTCTGTAGGCCTGAAGGCTGCTCCTCACATTTCCTGTCATGTTCATCAGCCAGCCGTTGTTTTGAAGAATGACACAGAACCATAGAACCGACTATATTTTAACTCAGTCCTATTATGTCTGTATTGTGGATGACACATTAAAGGAGAAGTCTGGACCTCTGACCTCTACACTGAGGGCATCTGGTGGCTCCACTATGAAGCTGATCACCAACTATTTCCTTCATCAGTTTAGTTGTTTTTCAGGAAATAGAGTGAATTTCCTTGAGTCCAGCTCCATACATGAGAAGGTTTCTTTGCTCCTCTGTGACAGTAGACGGAGTATCTTTGGGTTGTGGACAAACCAGGACGGTTGGAGACGTCTTCATGGGCTTTAGGAAACACTGATACGCATGTTTCACCATTTTCTGACCAAACAATTGAATGTTTAAGCAAGAACCTAGTGAGCAGAGTTAACTAGAGCTCTGTTTTTCTGGCATGGTTCAGGTCCATTCGGGAAATGTTGCAGCAAATCCAGACAAAGTCGTTCAGAGTGATAAAACCCTTCCATCCTGACAGGGATCAGCTCTTCTTTGGATCCTAGATGGCATCTGTAGGTCATGAGAGGTCACAGAATGGAAGTGATGTGAATCTAATTTCACGGCCTTTATGGTCACCAGCTCTCCTCCAGGAGGTTCTGGACACGTGATCTCCACCACCATCCCCAAGGCAACAAACGAGAGAAGAACTTTTGGAGGAGAGCGTTCAAACCTCCAGTAGAGCTCCAGAGACTTCTGTTGTGGCAGCACATGGTGGAGAGACTGCTCACCGAGACGCTGTCCGCCGGCTTTTCCTTTAATTTGTCACCCGTCTGTAGATCACACACTCTTGGCTGATGGGTGTCAGTTTGTCTTATTGGTGTTTATTTGCTGAATAATGTCCTGCAGCAGCTCATTCACCAACACCGACCCGTTAACTCATGTCTCAGCTCCGTTAGCTTCGCCTGCTAACTGCTAAAAGTCGAGACGAGTGTTTTAAGATTTGCTCAACCGACTTCCAGTCCCTTCAGCTTCTTCTAAGTAGATTCACAGTCAGTATATTTTCCTGCAGATGTAAGCATACATAAAAACAATCTCTGCTTTTTCTGCTGTGTCATACGAAAGCGTTTATTGTCTTATTACTGGACGGAAATAATCATCGCAGTTATCGGCTGGTTTTTGTGTTGTTGCCTTCTTATCAGGAATAAAGCTGTTGTCGGATTAAGGCAGGAAGTAGAAGACACACCTTTACACCCTTTGTGTCGGGTTAAAAGCTGCAGCACTTCTTACCGCCGCTCCTCAGAGCTTCACTGCATGTCGTATTTTAGCTTTTTAGTTGATGCACGCCACAGAGACGGAGTCACGAGGCCGTGTTTATTGCCCCACCTGCTCGGAGGGACAATCAGATTCGATATGTCCGGTTACTATCAGCGGGAAATGTAAATAGAAGCATGCATTGTGTTTGTGAGGGCCTTGTGTCGTGTGATGCGTGTCCTGAGCTAAACTACAGCTATCATATCCTCAGTTTGGAGGATGTGCCTCTTTGCCCCGTCCTTCTGAGGACATTTATCACCTTTTATAGAAGCAGCTCCCTCCCCACCCCCCTCCATCGCTCAGAGAGCCACAGCAGAGGATGTATTGATCCGGTGGGAGCTGCTGCAGGGTCAGCATGTGCGCAGTCAGTATCGGACAGGAGATGCCCGGTGACATTCAGCTAAGGTCAACGTAGCATCGAAATATAATCCATCCCCGAATGAGAGAAAAAAAAAAAAAGCACTCATCAATTGGAAGCAGCGAGGAGCTAGCAGGTCTGCAGCAGGACGGTTTCAGCCGCATTTGATATTGAGACCCGTCCAGTTTGGCGTTTCAGCAGAACTGGCAGCATAACTCACATAAATAAGGTTAATTTACTAAAACCAATAGTGTAAATGAAGCAGCAGCTTCAGTCACGGAGCTGCTTCGACACAATTACGTAACAAGTGCACACTTTGTCGGAGGAACACTTCTGGCGCTGTTATAAAAGTAGGTTTGTATCAAGGCCTTGTCTCTAATTCGGGGATTTCCTCCATCGTCCACAATACAACAGAAAGCCAGAGGCGCTGGATGTTGCCCGTTTTTTATTCCTGTCTTTATATCCTTCCGACACCTTAAATCTCTTGGACGTGTTGTTGATCCTTTTTTTTTTTTTTTGGGTCGTTTTTCCACCAAAGTTCTAGCCGTTGGCTTCGTGGTCAGACTTCATGACAGAGCTTTAAAGAAAGAGCTCTTCTTTGGCCTCCGTGTGAGGATTAGTTGTGTCTTTACTTGTGGGGATAATATGGTGGGAAACTACTGTCTATAATAATAGAAACTGAATGTATGTGTTGTGGTCTACGGAGGCGTTTCTTCTTCTTCTTCTGTTTATCCTGAAACTGATCATTTTCGGTCGATGTTTCAGCAAACGTTTCGTACTGTCGGACTCGGTTTCGGTGCCGCGTGGGCTTTAAAGCGTTTGCATTTACCGTAAGATGAGTGTAACGATTCAAAACGCTTCTCTGCTGCGTTTTAGGCCAAACGGACACGTCGGAAATGTAAAAAAACGGAGAGAAAAGAGCAGAAACGTGAGAATAAGCACAAGAAAGTAGCTACAGAAGAAGAGTATTAGAGGAGATAAATGTAGAATAAGATGATATTAGTAACGTACATGGAGTCACAAACGGAGAATATTAACACCATGTCCACAGATGAACTTCCTTTACAGACCCTTGGCATCTTTCTCTGTACTCCCCCTCCACACACACACACACACACACACACACACACACACACATCATGTGGAACAGATCCTTTTTCACAGTGTTTCCTGTGTTTTACAGAGAAGCTCATCACTGGTTGCTATCCGGAGCCTTTATATAATGGCCCGAGCTGTTTATATCGACAGACCAAACAATGGACCTGGATTGTTTGCCTGTTTTTTTACTAATCTCTGCTCATCAGCTGACTGGATGACCAAGATTATAATAGCTGGAGTTTTCATTCACTTCAGTGTGTGTGTGTGTGTTCTCCGGTTGTCACACCATGTGTACAACAATCCAGCAGGGTGGCTGCTGAAGACTCCGATTCTCTCTAAAGCCAATGAACTCGGTGAACTTTCATTAGTAACCAGTTTGGGTTCATACTCGCTGTAGTACCTCGATGACTTACAACAACACAGACTGTGCAGTGTGTGTGTGTGCTTATGTAGATTCATACAACTGTACTTCTTGTGCCTTGTTGTTCCAGCTGATTAAACAGTCGGGCTTTTATAACTGA